AGGCATTTTTTGTTTCATATGCACAGGTTTAACAACTTTTAACAACTATCAATGGCGGCTGAAGTTTAAATGCACAAAAGTAAGCCATAAATACAGTTTCCACTATCAAAGTAGTCACACTTTGTTGATCCAAACACTGCTGACCTCTCAACACAAATGATGGGCAGATTAAACAGTTCATGCCGATGCTTCTCCCACACAACGGGTGTTTAAATCTAACTTCCACGTTTATTGCTCGGACTGTATCGCAAGATCTCGAAAATCCCGCGCATGCTTGTTTGCCCCCCTCAGGTCTCCGCACCGGAGCGGAGCCGTTGTAGAGCGGGTACCAAGAAAAATTGAGTTTGGAAGCGAGCGGCTGCGGAAGGCGGGGGCGGACCGGAGCGGAGCGGAGTGGAGGTAGTGGAATTTGGGGGTTGGTCTGACCAGTTTTGTGTCTTGCCAATCAGACCGCTCCATCGGTTTGGCGGATGAATTGATGTGACAGAACAACTAAGATGACATTGACTCGTTTGAAACGGCTTTGGCATCAACATTTTGGACTTGGGCTTTTCTTTGAGTCAAGAGCAAAAAGAGGTACTTAAGTCCTTTATTTACAAAAAGGATGTATTTGTGTTTTCTTCAACAGCGTATGGCAGACCGCCCCATTGATTAACATCCATAGAGGTCAGTACGTCACGTTGTTTGCTGTCCAATAGCATGTGCAGACAGCTTCTGTCCCATGACTGAGATCTGTCTGTGGGTCATGGCCAAACTTTTTAACACACACACACACACACACACACACACACACACACACACACACACACACACACACACACACACACACACACACACACACACACACACACACACACACACACACATGAAATAGGGATGTAAGAAAATATCGATATGGCAACATATCGTGATATTTTTTCTTGCGATATTACATCGATATTCAAAAGCCGTATATCTAATTTTTGGAAGATTTTTCATTCAAACATTTGTGTATTTTCTTCTTTTTTTTGGTGTAATTCAAACGCCGATCGCTAGTTGGCAGCAGTGTGCAATGGGTTTTGTTTCCACCATTGAAAGGTAAATCCCTCTGTTATGGTTCAGATACCTCATGTCAAACAGGTTGCATATCAGTTTGGACTGTTTATTTAATGTTCCTACAATAAATTCAGTCTAAAAAAATCGCCAATAACGTCTGACTGAATGTATCACAATATAATGTGATACAATGTATCATCTCCCCTGTATCGTGATCCGTATCGCATCGCCTAAATTTCACCAATACACATCCCTAATATAGAAAATGGCTTGCCAGGGTAAGAGACCACAGCAGATTTGTTGAAAAACAAGTGAATGAGAGCTTTAAATATGGAGAAATAAGGGATTACGGTTGTCAAGCACATCCTTCAAAGTGTCGGAAGGGGCAGATTGGATAATAAATCGGCACGGTTACCCTGCCACATGAACCAGGCCTACAGCTATAACATTTCACTTGACATTTTCTAACTTCGGGTAAACAAACAGACACATGCATGTGCAAATCCTGAGAAAACAACCAAACAACAAGCATTTATCATATCAGTCCTCCCATCTCAGGTAGACTGACACCATGACAGCAGGGCCAAACTTTTAAGTTAAAGTCCCATAGTCATCATCACACACTGGTGGAATTAATCTCCACATTTAACCCATCCCCATGGAGGGGAGTAGTGAGCTGCAGCAGTGGCTGTGCTCGGGAACTATTTGGTGGTTTAACCCCCGATCCAACACCTCAAAGCTGAGAATCAAGCAGGGAGGCATTAGGTCCCATTCTTAACGTCTTTGGCATGACCCGACCGGGAATCGAAGCCCGATCTCCCAGTCCCAGGATGGACACTCTACCACTAAGACACTGAGCTGTGTCATGATCTGCCCCAGCCTCCCTGACTGTGTCTCTCCTGCCTTGATTAACCTTATTGTTCTCACCTGTCCCTCGTTACTCTGCCCATGTGTTCCTGATTTCCCTGTGTATTTATACCTCCCTCCTTGTTGCTGTCTTCGTTGGATCATTGTTTGTTCATGCGTGTTTTGTCCCGTCTCTCCCGTTCCACCATTAAACCATTTTTATTTTGTCATCCGTGCCTGCTTTCCTGCCTCCTGAACCCTCCACCACACTTGGTTCGCCATCTCCACCCTCACATCATGACAAGCTGGTTAAAATGGCTAAAAGGCAAACAATCTTCTATTTTAGACCTGCGTCACATACTTTCTGATTCTTACTGTTTATCAACACAAGATGTGCCTTCCGAGAATAGTTGATTCTTTCAATCAAATGGATGAAAACGTTTTGTTCAAGGCTACTATTATAACTTATTTATAAGTTAAAACGTATATTCTGTAATTATTCATCAACAGGTTCTTTTGCTCATATAAGAAATAAATAAAAGGAGTATTTACATTGGCTTGTCTCCACTGTCAGCTGCAGTTTCCTCACCTTTTCGGAGGAGAAGTGCAGCTGACAGTC